ACATTGAGCTTYGTTGATAGGCACCTTGTGGGCCATTATGGAGCCTTTTCTTACTTTGTTCTAGCACCACAATATAATTCAGCAGCACCTTAATTTATTTTCAGTCCTACAAGGGATGATTTTTTTTTTCTTCTGACAAATACATATTTTTGACTGCTGCTTTTAATGAGCAGTAAACGTGATGGAATACAGACATAGCACTTTGCTCAGGTAGGTATATGGCAATGTATATTCACACAAACACATACATACATGATTTGTAAAAGTTATGATGCAAATATGCACATTAAAGAAAACGATTTTAATGAATATGTCAGTAAAACAGAAATATAAATAACATACATATGTCCATGTTTATTCACCCATACGCTTGAAGTGTAGTGAGACTGTTTTTGTAGAAGCACATTAAAAATCAGTTATTGAATGGCACTTGAGTAAGTTGTTTTATACATTGGATCACTTCCACAATAGTAATTAGATTAACTTCTGTATGTCTTGTTACTCTGTTTAGTCTATCAGTCTCCATACTTCTTTCTTAAGGTGGCTACAGTGGCTGAAAAACCTTATTTATAAGTGCTCATCATAATATCTATGTATGTCCATAGCTGACATAAAATGCCCATAAAGGAGTTGCATTTGTTCATTAAAACACTGATGTCCATATCCTAGCTAATGTTAGATAACTTGAGGACCTGAATGCTGAGCCATAGCTATGCAGGACTTGAAAAAAATGTTTTTCCCAGTAAACACTGATACACAATGCTGCAAAAATGAGTTAGGGTAAAATTTGGTTTATAATTTCTAAGACCTGCCACAGAACTTTTTGCATCTTCTGAGAATTTTCATATTTTAAAATCAAATAAACAAAACATTTAGCTTATGGAACATATAGAATGAAAAATTATGTCAGGAGTAGATGCTGTACACTAAGAACCTTGTAGAGCAGGGAGTAACTAAGCAGAACCTAGAAAATGGCATARAAGAAAATAAAATATTTAAATGGTGTTCACAATTTGTTTTAAATTCACTTTTTGTAGAATACCAGCAATGAAGAAAGAAGGAAGTTCACTAAGGGGATGCTAYTTGAGATCCTATATTTCAAATTAAGCAAATAAAATTGTGTTAAAGCTGGTGGACATTTTTGGAAGAAATCCCCAATGGAATAGATGCTTTGGGGAAATTCTCTATTGCTCAGAATTACATTTCTGTGTATGCCAACACAGGAGGCACGTGACCTTTTGACTCCAGGTTTATAACTACTGCAAATGAAGGATTACAGCACAGAAATAATCATAATCAAACATTTCCCAAGGTTGTCTTGGCCTATGTGTCACAGTTTGCTTTCAAAACACACATTGCTAATTAAAAAAAAAAAAGACATCTTGCACTAGAGCTTTGGCTCTGAAAAGTGCTACAGAACAAGGACACAAATACACTTGGACTACTTTTAAGGTGCAAGAAGAAAAAATATTTTATGTCCAAATTGTATTTGGTAGTTTACAAACCACCTATCTGAATTCAGTGATAATTTTTCTGAAATGTTGAAACAATCTGATATAACTAGGAAGCCTTAAAAAGTGTTGATTCTCCTTTCAGGAAACTACAATGGCTTGTTATAAAGCATCATACCAAAATGCTCTAAATGATAAACTACTGTTTACTCTATGAGATATCAGTCAGAAAATGAATAAGAGAAAGCAGGGAATATGCAGCAGAAACAGCCATGATTTATGCCAGTGCTGTTATAATCACATCACAGCACAGATTTGTTCTGAATAACTCAGTTTAATACTTTGTGTACTCATATTTATCATAGGTCTGTGCAGACAGAGAAACAATGTTTTTATCAAATTATGATGTGTTTGACTTGAAATACATTTAGCACAGATGACAGTTTTTAACCAYGAATTTCAATTCACACAGTTAAGTAATATCTAAAGATTAAATAACAGCAAACAAGGAAACAAGCCTACACAGGGTTGCAGGCCTTTTGTCAGAAAATCATGAGCATAGTAAGAGCCATTACTCTCTATAAACTTGCTCATGAGCATTGGGGGTGACTTTAGGGTTTAGAACATTTGTGAAATTTTGACTGCAATTTGTCAGACATGTTGGGAAAAATTTGTTAACTTCCTTGAAATGCAAGAGGAAGAAACAAATACTATTSCATTGCTTAAATAACTGGAATATTTGAATAACTGAGGAGCTGTTTAAATAATGAGTTAAAAAGCTTGGTTTTCTTCACTTTAGTTAATTAGTAATAACACACTTGTAAAGACATTTTATAGTCAATTCATTAGTGATTAGGAAAGAAAACTTAAAATACCATGAGCACATGGTGTGTTAAGGATGAGACTGACATTGTCTGAAGATCCACTGAAGATACCACTGCAAAAAAATATAAATAGGACTTCTCAGGTGTTTCCAGAAACTGCTTTGTTTCTAAAACTACTTTGTTTCTGAAGATCTTTGTGTTCTGGGAAACATGAAAATGTCAAAAATTGGTCAAAGTATTCTATGAAAGCAGGCTGGAAGAGCTGGGGCTGTTCAGCCTGGAAAAGAGATGGCTCYAGGAAGAGCATATTGATGCCTTYCAATGCTTACACGGGGCTTATACAAAAATGAAGAGTTTTTACCAAGGCCTACAGTGACAAGACAAAGGACAATGTTTATAAACTAAAAGAAGGTAGAGTTGGACATAAGGAAAAAATCTTTTAGGATGAGGGTGGTGAGGCAATGGAACAGGTTGCCCCAAGAAGTGTGAATACCCCATTACTGGAAGTGAAGAGAWAATCAATTGCACTGATTTTTCAAATACAAATTGTAAAAAGTTGTAGAATTTATAAATAATTATATGTATCATTTTCATGAATGGTATGATGTTTTAAATAATGGTTTTGTCTTTAATACTCAGTATGTCGATTCATGGAACACTTGCTAGGACTTTTGTATAGTCTCAATTCACAAATGCGTAAGTAAATATCAATAAGATATGGATTATTTACTTTACATTTTATTCATGTTTTCTTTTTCCTAACAAATAGTTTCCATTTTTAATTGTTTTCTCAAACTTTTTTGAAAACAGATTTTGATTTCCTGCTTCATATGAACTTCATTAGGTGGAAAAGTAACACTTTTCACAGTTTATGTGACTATACAGGTCTAATTTATGTTTCATATGTGAGATTAGCAACACTGTTGAAGAACATTGTCAGCACAGACACAGCTTACACTTGTCATCATCATAATGAATAAATTTTTGGCTAAGAAAGTTGCAATCTTCATCTTTCCACAAAATGATGGAGAGTAGGTAATGCTTTTCCTATTTAGGCACCCACTAATACGAGGCTGACAGACTGAAATTTCAGATATTTCACCCTGTGGCTTGTTTGACAATTTTAACGGTGGCAGTCACTTGGCAACTGAATAGGTTGCTTTCTACCATATAACTACTTTTTTTCCTAATGCAATTGCTATCCTTATCTCGCASTAATGCCTGATTACCTAACAAAACAACATATCCCTTTTTTAAAAATCTTGGTGTATTGCTTTATTATATAATACAAGAAGTAATGGGTTCAAACTGAAAGAGTACATTTAGGTTAGATAYACCAAAGAAATTCTTAACTGTGAAKATAGTGAAGCACTGGAACAGATTTACCAGAGAGGCTGTAAATGCCTCATCCTTGGCAGTGTCTAAGGCCAGATTGGATGGAGCTTTGAACAACCTGGTCTGGTGGGAGATGTCCCTGATCATGGCAAGGGGKTTGGAATAGACAATATTTAAGTCTCTTTCAACCTAACAYATTCTATGATTCTATRATTCTATAATTCTATAATTATTATATATATAAGATATTGGAGGGTGGGGCGAAACCACATTTATTTTACTGAGCTACTGCATTTTATTTCCGTTGTGCTGATTTTTGTGTAATACCTTGTAAACTGATAGTTGTACTTCTTTGATGAATCACTCAAGATTACTTGCTTARCAAAAAGAAACATGGGTACATAAATATTTGCATTTTAAAACCATCACCTTTTGCAAACAAACAGGGGAATGGAGAGGGAAGAATAAAATGGTTTGGATTAGTGGAGTAATGAGGTGGGAAGGGTTAACTTAAGATAAAGCATAGGAACAAATTCTGGAGTCAAAAGGGCATTTTCAGCAATTGGTGGTGGCAATGTTGCAGCATCTCAAAGGAAAATAGATATTGAATAGAGGTGGAACTCAGAAGAAAGATTTCACCGTTTCACTCAGAACAAAGATTCTACCATTAACAGCAGAGTTGAGTTGCAGCAGTAAAGACTGCTCACATTTCAGTACTTGCCAGCAATTAATGCAAATGTCAACATATAACAAACTCAGGGTTTCAATGAATTAACTCAGATTTGGACTTGCAATAATATAATCTGGAAATGGATTCCATACTATTGACTTGACAAAGCAAACACTTTCATCTGTTCTGKTGAGTTTTTTTAAGGCTGATGGGAATAGCTGATGGGTGGGACATACAGACCATGGCTGATTTAGCTTTTTACAGACACCTGAACAAAAATAGCTAAAAATTAAACTGGGAATTGTGGAATTGCTGTAATAGCAAATACTCCCCGGCCATAATACCAGAGAAAGGAATGGAAGATTACTTCCAAAGCTCATAGATGAGATGTTATTTGTTCTCAAGACCAAGGATGTACCAGCAAAAAAAACATCAAAGCGAATCAGTGTGAGCTTTCGTGTGAAATTAAAGAATAAAGGTCCAATGTTGGTTTCAGATTAAAACCAGTATTGATTTTTCAGTAATAAGTACATAACAGAATACAACTTCTCACATAATTAGAAATCTGTCCTGAATTTAAACTAAAACATGAGAGATTTGACAAGAGATGATCTGTTTCTATAACAAAGAAGTAATTTTAAGGACGTGCTACTTATCTCAAAATATCAGAAATAACGAGGACTAATAATCACATGATGGACACAGGTTTTAGAACTTTACCTTTGTGGCAGCATCAAAACAGACAAAGCCCATGCTGAAGTCAATGGTAAGTCCCATAAGATGACTCTCCAAAACACAGGCATATGTCTTGCACTGTAAAAGAAAGAGAAGGTAGTTTCCACAGAAGACATTTCTTAAAATTCTTTCTAGGACCACTGTATATGAGTCCGTATTCTAATATTTATGTATCTCAAAATTATTATCAGAAATAAGTAAYTTGTGTGTAAATGCTTCAATTTATAGCCAGTGTACTTCAAATCAAAGGACGTTTATCAGTGATGAAGTTGTCTAAATAATACAAAAACAGGCTTTGCTTGCATTAGGGCAAAATGAAACAGGCTCAGAATTGCCACAGTGGCTTACTAATAACATTTTCTAACAGGGAAGTTTTATTATTTTCAAACCCCCTTTTTTGCTTTTCACAGCCAATAACAAATTCTAAGATTAATATATTCCTTTTACCTTTCCAAGAAAAAATACATGCATATGTAAAGTATCTCTYTGGTACACTGTTTCTTGTGGTTTTCTGTTGTCCTAAATATCTGTGAAAAAGCTAGCATTTCACACCATTTAGCAACTGATGTAATTAACTGAAATATCTTCTTTTGTTTTTTGCTTCAGCAAGTGGATCAACATGTCTCAAAGGTTTCTATAAGAAACCTTGGAATTCTGAAAGACTTTTTCATTCTACAATTTTTTAATAGATGCATCTATTTATTTCCATAACAACACACTTTAATACACACCATGAGACATCTATTAGTATTATTTTTGGGATCAAAACTACTGCTGTGCTTGAAGGATGACTTCAGGTAAGAAATGACAGACTTACCTTTTTCATCACAAAATATGTATAAAAAAAATTAAAACATTTCCAAATCAGATGCAAGTTCTTTAAAGAAACGGTTCTTATTTAGACATTTTACCCTACAGGCTAAATGAAATACATCTACATTCTTCAAATGTTCCTCTAGCCACTAAAAATATGAAATGAGAACAAAGGCTTCCATGATCTATAATGTGTTAGAAAAGCAAAATATAAATTGTAAACATGGGAGTGATGTGAGTTACTAAATTGTCAGTATTACAAAAAAAACCTATGATTATTTCTGGCATTTTGATTATCAAGGATAAATCACATGCCTTTACTTATATATTCTTAGGGGGGGCTCTTTGGATTCTAGGTGGTCTTCCCCAGAACACAAGAAGCTGAAAGGTGCATTAACAGTTTCTAAATAGAAAATGCAATGAAAGAAAATTGAAAACTTCACACTTAGTATTTATATTAAGAAATAAAAGTGGCTTTTTTTCTTTTTTTTCTTGGATTATCTATACCATAAAACTGCTATGAATATGTAAAATTTAATTGTAAATCAGTGTTGAAAAAGAACGTGATATTGCTTTTGGTACTATCTTGGTAGAAGAAAAAAGTGTAAAGTCATATMTTTCACAGTTACTTATAGTTAATTAGTCATACATGCAAAATTTTTCAGGTTTTGCATGCAAAGCAAAAAGCGTACAGTTTCGTGGAATTATCTTGCAAACATCTTACAAGATGTAAATTACAATTTTATTTGCAAATGTTCAAGGTCTGGAACAGACTTATAACCTTTACTGGAAATTAAATTTGGCAAGGAAACTGTATATCAGATTTAAAATACGTATTGTCACCTAAAGCTGTTTAACCTCCCACCCACAGCGTGAGCTGCAGCTCCCTCTGCGCCAGCCCAGCGCTAATTGGCCTCACTGGGAACTGGGGATTTATGAGAAACAGGACACACCAGTCTTGGAACAAAGCTGCACTGAAAAAGCAACCTGCTTCCCAGACTGAAGGCTCTTTCTGGAAAAGGCAGTGCATACTTTGTGAAGAAGTATCACCGAGTTCAGTTAGCTCAGTGTAGCTATTTGCAGGAAGAGACTGCAGAACACTAGAAGCAGATGATTCTTTACTTATTCTTTACTTATGTGCAAGACTATTCTGTGACCTCAGACTATGATGCTCAAAGCAATTTCGAGAAGAAAGAAATGTGAGAATAACAAAACGTCCTCTGGACAGGAAGAATTTAATTTCTGTGGGGAAGAATGCCCCTTGGTTTTTGCAGATGTTGCACACACCACACATCATTCTGGGCACAGGTCAGAGTAGGGATGTGAACTTTCAGGCACTAGTAAACTCCCTTAAGATTTTTCTCATCTTTATTTTCTTTAAATTGCCTTTTAATTCAGAATTTGGAGAGAACAAAAATGCAAAAAAATGTTATCAGGATACACGATAGTTTGAAATTTCTTATACATTTGACATTTTGAAACCTTAAAAGTGACTATGAATGATACACRCTGTGGATGTTTTGGCTTTGATTTCTGATTTCTAACATTGAGCTCATGAAAACCTTATCAGAACTGAGACACATCCCCTTCCCAAAAGAAGCAGAACATAGTTCAGCACTCATTTCCTCTTCTCCCACAGAACACAGAATCTTAACTTTGATTTATCAATAATTCAATGAGTTAGGCAGAGGCTGAAGGCGAAGCAGCAAAGTTGTTCCTTAGATACTTGTTACTTAGATACTTGTGAACCTCATGTAAACCACTTCTGAACCTGAAACAAACCGTACTTGAAGTCTAAGACTTAATTCAGATTTCAAACTCAGATTCAACCTCAAAGGAAACATAGGTTAAAGTACCACAACACAGCTTACATAATAACCCTTACATTAGAGAACAAACAACTGTAATACAAGCAAGGGCAGCAAGAAAAATGTTCATGATGGAAGGGGTGAAAACTTCAACTTAAAGTAGCAGGAACACAAGGGAAATATGACAGCGTTGTATATAATTTGCAAATCATTATGGAAGCTATAGTAGCCTCAGATTGTTCATGCAACAATGCTGGGAGACATTAAGGAAAAAGCATTTGAATTTAATTTTTTTTTAATAGGTAGTTATCAAAATGGAATATCATCACTTACTACACTAAACAAAACTAATTTAAGAGTGACTGTAACACACTAAAATGACACCACTATATTATTGCACCATATTCTTGCTAAATTATTATCAGCTTGACTATGCCTCCTCTCACATTTCTACAAAAAATCAAATTTTAATCTTTGTTTTAGATACACCCCTGGCAGAAGGGCTGAAAATAATTTATTATATATTTAAAATAGCAGAAAATAATTTATTATATATTTATAATGAAGCATTTAAAATATATATTAATTTATTATAAATTCTTTGGAATTGGATCAGAATAGGCCCCTGACTAACCTCTTGTGGAGGTTATAGTCATTGAGTAAGGGTTACTGCTCATATGATTATGGAATAGCCACAGCTGAGTGACAACACAGTTGAGTAAGTTTAAATGACGGTTTTAAACTGCAGTTATATTTTCAAAATTGTATAATTTTATTGTAAACTAACCTGCATACAGCAGTATTAGCATTCACTTTAAACATGAATATTCATATCAATGTGATTGCATCAACCACCATTTTAGTAAAAAGGTACAGTTGATACCTTAATTTTAAATCTGTCACTGTTTTGTTGTTTTTTTTTTCTCACAAAGCAATGAAATAACATGTTAGAGACATATWATACCACCAGATTTTAAATGCATCTGCAAGTTGGCAGATGAAAGCAGTAATGGATTGCTGAAAGAAAAATGAGGAGGCCAAACCCAGTTATATTAAAAATATTCTATATTCTTTTCCAAATTGAGATATAGAAAATAAAGAAAAAAAGGTGAAATAAAAAGTGCTAGTTCCATGATAATAACAAGTCAGGAGAAGGCTGTTTGTCCTCTTTAACAGATCTGCTATAATCAATCAATCAATCAATCAGGAAATCATTACTTTGAGTTCTTAATTGCTACTTTCAACATCAGAATAGAGAAAAGAAAATTGAAAAGATTAAGATTAAGCTGAGGTTAAGTTAATTTGGGAAATTATTTTGGAGAAACAAGAGGAATTTTGAATAAATGTAATTCTAAAACCCAAAAGAAAAATCTAAACTAGGAAKGCTACAGTACCAATCAATATTAAAGCAGAACAAATATGAGGTGGCTTCTGGAATAAAAGTTACTYGAGAAAAATGCCACATATTTTTTTGCTGAGGGCACAGCAGTGCTTCTACAAAGTATGCTGAAGTCAGTTACACAAGAAAGATAAAACCTCTCAAATATTTAATGGCAGAGGACATACATATATATATAGTTGCAATTTTTACACAGAAAAACAAGTCTTATATTTTTCAGCAACTTAAGAATAAAAGGTAAGAATATTTTCTATAAAAGGCAACAGCGTACATGAACTTAAAAGAGAAAAGTTGAACCTGCCCTGACTCCTCCTTCAAYAAAGGTACTACGCATTAAAACAGACAGCAGCATAGTTTTTGCAAATTAGATCATCATTAGTATATATCAATTCAGTCCATCTGCATGTGGTGGTTCACAGGTCAGAAAAGGSCTAATAGATAACTAACTAACAATTTGTCTGAATAAAAACATGTCAGTGCTTGCACTCCCAGGAGGACACAGAAAATGTGTGGGCCAATACCTGCACATATGCTAATACGGCTCGGGTAGGGTGCATAAATCCTGCTAACATCAACTCAAATAGCTGTAACCACATGAAYATTTCAGTATTAGAAAATCAATATAATGATTGGGATTAGGTGAATTACAATTGTGGTGGGTGGCTCTTTCCTCCTTTTTTAAATAAAAAAGGTCATGACTTTTTGGTCATGTGAACAARACAAAGTTTAAACACTCTGATTTGCAATTTTGCTACAAAATTCACTAGCAATTTGTATCTGAAAGTTATCCATCTCTGCTGTTTGTTATCTGRCAATTGAGTAAACACACAAGGAACAAGAAATGTGTGAAGAAATAATAAGGCATCTGAGGTAATTTTTTTCTTGCTTGTATCCAGTAAGTACTTCACTCAGGGTACTCTCATTCCTGGTATTACAAGGACAATTTAATTCTTGCAARGTTCTCTTGTGATATTCAAAAACAAATTCAAACAACAGCATGTAAGCCAGTACGAACATCTAAACAGCTGGATTTTGTCCCTGATCCAYAGATTGTTTTTCCTTGTCTGTCCATGAACTCCAGTTAACAAATAGGTATCATGTAGTCATAACAACTCAAAGATTGTATTTCAGGTGATCTCTTCTGAATGTTAGATTGCAAACCCTTCAGGAACACCAAACGCCATTACTTACATAAAACAATAATAACTTGAGAACTGCAGCTGGTCAGAAATTTTTTTAAATTTCATCAGGGCCTAATTTGATAAMTGTAGTGAAAGGTGATCACCAAGGCAGTTGTTCTCACCTGTATCCGTTCAACTTCTAAAAAAGTTGCTGTTTGGAAGGCTTTYTCCCATAGTGCTAGGTCAGACTCTAGTTCCACAGAGAAGTAAAGATCTTCTCCAGATTCAGACTGGACACTGAAGCAATGTTTCCGACGGTCCAGTAGATCACTGTCCTGATGAAAACCTGAAGTTATATAATCTGGCATACATCAATTAATATTTTTAATTGCAAACATTTATGCCTCAAACCCAGCATTTTTAAATGGCATATTAAATCACAGTTGTAACTACCAAGAGCTGAGGAACTGAAAATTAGGATTTGGTCTAAATATTGACATTTCAATTGATTTTAAAAAGGGCACTTATATTCAGAATGGTACAGAAAAAACATATCTCTGGCATTAACTTTAAATATTTTCACAAATCACTTCTCAAAAATGTTATCAGATATACACTTTTCGATTAGGTAAATTCAATAAAGTTTTCCACTTTCTATTCACATGAGGAACACAAATATCAGCTTCTCTGACTGATTTGACTCACACACCCTCCTCTGGAAGGCTGGTCAAAGAATGACTTTTATTTTAAGAAGTATGAAAAGTCCATATGTCCTATTTTCTTTATTGATGCTARAGAAACCAAGTTCATCTTTCTGGTGGCTTACAAAATCCATCATARAATTTTTCTTTAAATGGATCTGCCAGAAGAAACTATAGTGGCTGCCCATGGTTAGGTTGCTGGCTTTGGTCCTGGAGGAAATAATTACTTTTGGCTTTACTTTCGACCTAACACCACACAATTGAAATCAGGTTATAAATATTTAATAATTAATGATTGCTAGCATTTGTAATTGCTAGTAAACCAAAGACTAAGCAAGTTAAGCAGAAAATCCATTCATTAAAATGTTTTCATTTTTAAAATTTATTTRTTTTTTTATTTAATACAGGCTGCTTTATGCTAAAATTCTGGCATGTAACTTGTTCTTGTGAAAAAYAGACTTGCAGAAACAGGCTTAATTAATTTAGTCCCTGCTACATCAAAGAAGCTGTCACAAGTCACAACCTCACCTGCTGTCCTTGCCAATACATCTGGAAGTTTGGATATAAGTAGCCTGCATGGGTTTTCTACAAAACTACTCCATAGCAAAGGGCAGAGTTAAGTTCAGAAAAGGAGACTCACAGGACCATATTGTTTTCTGGTTATACACAACCTGAACAGACCAAGGGGAGCATAACCAGCTGATACAAGCTGCAAGAGCAGCTTACATTGTTCAAGTCAGCTCTCCCTGGGGCAGGGAACCAGGAACCTACAGCTGATTGAGAACATGATATATAAAACAAGAACCTGCCTGCAACTATCACTCTCAGGTATACAAGTTGGCAATGGTAGAGCAAGCACTACTTTCCCCTTTCCATTCATTCAGGAGAAATGTGACAGACCTAGTGAAAGACTAGTGAAAGCCAGTGGAGCGTGCATCATGAATGCTTCTGGTTCAAGACTGCTTTACAATTTCCAGAAGAATCAGCTATGGAGGCAACATATCCTCTCTTTGCAATCACAAATTGACACAAATCACAATTTGACAAAAACAAATTGCTAGGATTTTAAAATAACCAGTCACTGTGGAAAAATCTCCTTCCTTACTTCCACCAAGTCCTAAGCTTAGCAGCTCTACAGTGTTAAGTCATGTATGAAAAAATCAGCATGAGCATGTTTGATCTCAAAAGATAGCATTTCCAAAAATAAGGAAAAAAGAAMAAAAAAGAATATTTTCCCAATTTTTTCTTCCAAATATTCACAGGGCTGTGTAGTAGAACCAATTATGTGTAGTTGAATAATAGTCTATGTCCTATTAGAAACAACTTTTGTCTCTTTTTTTTGGTATCTCTTTTTTCTCCTTTTTTCCCCTTTTCTTTCAGGCTCTTCTTCTCAAACTGAAGTGCCAATTCTATTCACGTATGTCCTGACCCACTCAAAATAGAGGTTATAATATCCAGGTGGTTGTAATGACATCTATGCTCCATTGCACACACAGCCTCAAAGCACGCCGAGCAGCAGCACTGTGACAAATGTTTAACCTTGTGGGTATGTTGTCACAACATAAAACAYGGAATCATGGAATGGCTTGGGTTGGAGGGGACCTGAAAGATCATCCAGCTCCAACACCTTAYGGCCATGGGCAGTGAAAACTTCCACTAGATCAGGTTACTCAGAGCCCCATCTGTCTGGCCTTGAACACTTCCAGGGATGGGACATCCACAACTTCTCTGGGAAACCTCTTCCAGTGCCTYACTACCCCCAATATTAAGAATTTCTTCCCAACAGCTAATCTAAACCTTCTCTATTTCAGTTTGAAGCCATTCCACCTTGTCTCCTCACTACATGCTCTTGAAAAAGTCCCTCTCCATCTCTCCTATAGGATCCCCTTAGRTACTGAGAAGCTGCAATAAGTTCAACCTTCTCTTTTCCAGCCTGAACAATCTCAATTTTGGATGAGTAAAAGCATTGGAAAACCCATACTCCTCCAGGGAAGAAAAGCTACTTCTTTTAGATTAACAGCACTTCTTGGCTAACAGTTCTTAAACAGGGTCTTGAACTCCCTCTGCTTCCAGAGGTAAACCTGAGTGAATGGGCCCATAACCCAAAAGATCTATTCAGCAAGGAGTGTGGCAAGAGTCATGTGTGAAGTACATGTATTTCCTGGGGAAGCTCTTAGTTCTTCATAGCCACAACATAACTACTTTCAGAAGAAACCAAAAATATTTTGAACCCATCTTTATCTATTCTTGAGAACAGTTAGTAGAGAATAAGCAATTATTACTAATGCAGACTCTTAAAGCTTTTCTGAAACACAACTATGGCACTAYGTGGGATCACAGGAATCACAGTCATTAAAATAACTTAAATAATAACCCCTGTTTTCAAATGGGAGAGAGCTTAGTGCACGGCTAAGTTCCAGAATGCATCTCTATTTAGCTGGGCACAGCTAAGGTGTGATGCTTTTAAATTACATTCTTAAAACTCTTCCAGTCTTACAGGCTCTTTTTGTCTCTTATTGAGAAGAATATGCTCYCTAGGAAAAAGGGAAGACTGTGAAAAACAAAAATGTTAGAGTTAGAAGTTTTACTGAGATTGATCTCTGTTAAAAAGCATTTGAAAAATGCAAACATCTCTGGAGGCCTTTAGGTGATTAAATAAAAATCTGTATATTTTATTATCAGCATTGCTAGTAATAATTGTATTGGATTTTACTAAACAGTACATCAAACCTAGATGATGAAAAAAGAAGAGCTAAATGGGATCTACAGTAATTATCCAGTTTTTTGCTCCTCATATATGAAAATGARACCATGCTTTGATTTAGGAAAGACCTCATCAGTACTAGGTAGCATTTTCCCTCAGTTTTTGCATATAAAAATACATTTTTATATTTGCATATAAAAAGATTAGAATACTTCAACTACTAGATTATATTGTGAAAAACAACACATCTGTTATTGGAATTTATGTTCTGCAAAGTTCTTATTCAAAATGAAAGCAAAATTCAATATTTCCACAGAAATGTAATTTAMCAGAATAATAATTTAAATTTGTGATTAGCTCTGATGTATATACTTGTAATTTTGATATAGTCCATTGCAAGAAAAGTGTATGTCAAATACATTTAAATKATGCACTTTAGCTTTTCTAAAATTGCTGACATACATATGAGGTATTCCTTTCCTTCTTAGTGGTATTCCATCCTACTGGTAAAAATAGTTATCTTCAGGGTTCCCTTTACTGCTTCTGTGACTTTTTCTACAAGTTCTTTCTTTAGTTTTGTATTTCTTCAGGCATTAAAAATCAGTATTCTAGATTTATAGAATCTAATAATTTGTACAAYGGATAACTGGACAAAACAACATATAGGCAAAGCTAAAAGATAGCTATSTAGCTATCCAAATGTCCTTATAAAGGCAGGAATTTATAGTGCTTTTTTGCGGGTGGTTTTTTTTTTTTTAATTATATATTTTTTTAAGGATTGTAACTGATAATGTTCCAAAAGTCTGCTAATTTAAGATAAACTTGTCAGGAGTCTCAAAATCAGATCAGAATTAAGCAGGAATCTTCATTAATTAACTTTTACTGAACCATAATTTCAACTAAAATATAGAAGTTCCTTCTTTCCATTTAAGAATCTTCTATGGCCCTGTATTTTTATATTCACTTACTAGCCCATGATGGACATGAACCAATTTCATGTAGATTTTTTGAGAACTCTTTCATRCTCTTAATGATCAGTTGTTCCATTTGACTCTGATGTTCTCTCTGTGAGTTAATAGAATTCTCTRAAGTGAAACACACCCCAATGCTAATTCCCTACCAGAGGGAATGCAGTCTTGCTGAAGGATGGGCTGTGAGGAAAGACATTGGCTTACACCCAGCTTCAGGGTAATCCAGCATCTCTGCTGACAGGACAGTATGACTCCTGCCTAACTAATAATGATATCCATGTTAAGTGAGAGTAATAAATTTGTCCATGGGAACCAAGCATGGCTCATTAGGCAGGTCCTTCCAAATTAAGGCAGAAGGCTTCTTTATCACTAAGTAGAGACATCGCCTTCTCTTCTGCAGAGGTAATCTTTTCTCTTTTGAAAGACAACTCTTTCTGGAAGAAGCACTGCTTCTTTTTGATTACTTGTGTCTTTTCAAGTATGATAAGAAGTGCATTAAACACTCATGTTTTCGCTATTATTTAAATCTGCTAAGACGCATGAGGCCCTCACCTCCTGTGATGGTCAGTGAGAATTGAATTGTTCTATTTCAGAACTCTGTGCAATAGAAAACAAAGATCTGCCACTTTCATGCTCATGTAATGATTTTTGCCCAGGAGATGCTCAGAACTGTCTGGAAGTCTGATTTACCTTGAAGTTACATATAGTATACAGAGTGGCATATCTATTTGGCCAGGGAATCATAAATGCTAGGGACACTGGCAAGCAGTTTTTGACATGAACAATTCATGTAAGATATTCAAAACCACCTAATCAGAATTGTGTATGTACACAGACAAAATAGTCCTTGACTTTCAAGGAAATTTTATTCCAGCTGTTAAAATGAGGTAAATATTAATGTCTCTGATATTAATTGCAATAATTCTTCAAAACACATGAGAAATCAAAGAAAACCTGCT